GATGTCGGCTGTGGGGGTCGGCCGAGAGAGGCAGGAGGGGCTGCTATGAGAACAGAGGATGCTCAGGGACAGTTTTTCAGGGGCGCTGCCTGGGGACACCTGGGCTGGAGAGACCAAAGGCAGAAATTTTTATTCCTCAGTCTCGTTGCTGTTGCTTCTTGCTGGCATTTCAGGTGACGGAACCATCCGTTGGACCCCAGCCCAGCTGGCCCCCTCTGCCCAGGAGGGCCACCAGCCCCTGGTATCACTGCAGGAGCTGCCTTTGAGCGACGCATCCCCACAGAGATCACACACACACAAAAAGGTCATAAATAAATAAAATGTAAAAAACCCCAAATTTCACATCCCAGCTGGACCTGCCTAACAGGGAGGATGCTGCCCTGCATCTTCTTGACATCCACAACTTTTGGGGCATATCTGGGGAGCGCAAAGCCCAGCTGGAGGAGATGCTCTCCCCAGCCACCCCACAGACACGCAGGTCCCCACGGTGTCTGGAGCCTCGGTACCTCCCGGTGGCACTGCCGGGACCCCGGCAGAAGAGGGGCAGCAGGCGGGACATCTCACAAGAGGAATGTCCTATTTATACGCTGGTGTTTTAAAAGGCTTGCACAGTGTCCCTGACCTCCTCGCCTCGGCGCCTTCCTCAGACATTCCTGGGCTGCTTGCTGGAGCATTTTAATGAAGCAACCAACGTTGGGATGGAGGTACGCCCCAGGGGAAGCTGAAGGCATCTGCCAAATTGCGAGGAACCCAAGGGACGCCTCGCTGAGGACTCCAAGCGCCCGGTTCCCACCCAGGAACCTCCACACCTTTATTTTCCTCAACACACCCAGCACCCAGGCAGCTTTCAGAGGAGATGGGGCATGTCCAGGTGCCTGGGCAAGGCGTCACCTCCGTGGGTGGGCCAGGGAGACAACCGCTGTGAGCATCCAGGGCTTGAGTTTCATCTCATGGATGTAATTTCTCAATTTCTTAAAAAAACACCCCTTTAAGCCCCAGACAAAAGCAGAAGCCTGTCCCCATGTGCAAGCACACCTCCTTCTGCTTTCAAGGAGCACCCACAGGACAGCAGCTCCCCCGACCCGGCCAGGGAGGAACCCCAAACCCTGTCTGCCAGTGAGAAGCCCTGGCTGGTGTGCATCTGCCTTTGGGGGCAGGAGGGGAGGGCAGGATCCATCCCCAGGTCCCGCAAGCAACAAGGGGGGATGCTTGGAGACCTTTTTCCGGGCAGGATACATGCGGCTGCTGGAGATGAGCCTCAGAGCCACCTTCTCTTCCTCTGCAGGGTCAGGGATGCCTGCCAGGGGTTTCCTACCCCTCCTCAGGCATTCACCTGGGCTGGAGCATCTCTTGTACCCAGGAGCAGGAGGATGACAGCCCAGAACGCCCTGCTTGGGGCTTCCCTGGGCATAAGGGGGTCTCGGGAGCTCCTGCCAGCCCTGGCATCAAGCACAGATATCCACAGGGGCTGAAGCCAAAAGCCAGCCTTGCCCCTGCTTGCTGGGTGTGCTCGTTGCATGGGCTGGGAAAGAAAACTGTCCCAGGGCGCGCCACGTGCTGCACGACACCACAGGGATGGGCTGGACCAGTGATGTGGGGGCTACATCCCGCCCTGGCAGGGTGGAACGGGGAGAGGGGATGTGCCCGGGCTTTGGGGAGGACATCAGTCCATGGTCGCTGGGTGTGGCGATGGAGCTCCCCAGCAGCTCCAGGCTCCTCGCACAGGGCCGGGCTCTTACCTTGCGGTGGAGCAGCTGGGCCTGCGGCCCTCCGTTGCCTTCGATCTCATAGCGGACGCTGTTGAAGAGCGCTACACCATACTGCTCCTTGTAGCACCGGCAAAACTCTCCCAGCACCTTCCCGGTCTTCTCTGCAAGGGGAGAGCAGAGCCACGTTAGGCAGGAGCTGGATTCAGGGATCTCCTTGCTGCAGAACCCCCGGCACCCCACCTGGACACCTTCCCCCCACCCTTCCCACCCACTCAACACCTCCTGACTGCCAGAGCAGGCTTTGGTGTGGGGGCCATGGCTGAGCCCGCTGCCCTCTGCCCTCCCCGTCCAGCCCTGGGACTCATTTGGAGTCAGGATGATCTCTTTTTTTGGCCTTTCATGTTAATGCCATGGATTCCTCTCCCCGGCAGGAAATTCCTGACATTAAGCTGATTCCAGCGATGCTGACGGCTTCCAGCACCTTCTGCCGCTCCACAGCCCCTCTGCAACCGCCTCAGCCAGCTGAGATTGGGGGGCAAACCCCCATTCCCCAGCCTGAAGCATCACTCACACCCTCCCGACCCTGCTGTGCCCCGTAAGGGCCATTCTATGGAGGGGCTGGGTGGCTCCAGGCTCTGCAGCCCACGATGCTCAATGCTCAGGGCCATGCATGCAGCAGGGAGATTCGAAGGGGAAAGGACAGCCTGGTCCTCAACATGCTCCTCATGTCACCCACTCTGTGCGAGGCAGGGACCCCAACCAGGACCCCCACCTCCAGAGCAGGGTAAGCCTGAGGTGCTGGGCGAGCTTGAGCTGCCAGGTGCCCCCCTGCACCCTGCACCAGAGGGGATCCCCTCCATCCCACAGGTGGTCCCAAGGCAGCATCCTTCACTGGCAGCCCCCCACCCCTTGATGCATGGGGTGGGGGGGACGCACTGCAAACCCGTTCCCCAGCAGCAGGGACAGCACTTTCCCAGCCCCACAGTGGCAGGCACCAGGAATGCTTTTTTCCCCTCGTTTTTTTGGGGAGCAGGGCTGCCCCCCCCCAACCTTTGCCAGCACTCCTGCCCCATGTGCACCCTGCTCCACACAACACCCTGCCCCATGCAGCACCCTCCCCACACAGCACCCTGCCCTCTCCACTCCCCATCCCAGCTCCAGACCCCACCTACACCAAAAACCCCATTGCAGGTCCTGGAAGACAACTTCCCCAGAGCTGCCTTTGGCACACGAGGCCTCTACTTCGAATTTCGCTCTCAACTATGCCCCAGAGCCTGTGAAAAGGAAAGAATTTGAGTCGCCTCCAACTATTTCTGACGGCTCAGCCTCTGCCAGAGCGCTGGCGATGAGCGCGGGGAGGAACGATGCTGGCTACGCATCCCCAGTGCAGGAGCCAGCACGATGCTGGGGGCATGAACCCAGACAAAACAGACCCTTGCGCCAGCCCCAGCACAGCTTGGCAGGAGCCAAAATCTCCAGCAGCAGCCACCCCGGAGCTGCACTCACAGCCAAGCTGGCGCGAAGGAGCAGCTTGCTCCAGGGTGCTGCAAATCCCCGTGGGATGAGAGGCTCCGGAGGAAAATGCTGCCCGAGGTCGGTGGCTGGGGGCAGATAAACCCATCCCCGAGGAGAAGCTGGCACTGCCAGCACCGCAACGGGAGCAAACACCGCAGGCCGGTGTCTCGCCGTGCCGGGGCTGAAAATCCCTTTAAATTCAAGCAACGTTTTTTCATGGCAAAGAACGAAACGCCCGCTCATCCCAGCAAAGAAATTCCTCACCCCTGATTTTGGCATTTTCTCCTGGAAAAGAGCGAGCTCGCAGCCACGCCACGCTTGCAGCCGTGCCACACCTCTGTTGCAACTCCCGACTACACAACCATGATTTTGGCCAGGGCTCTGGGCAGCGATGCTGACAGCTGAGATTTAAAAGGACATTTTGAGGTTTCATTTCCTTTCAGTTCATGGGAAAAAAAGAGCCCCTGGTCCCTGGGCAGGCGAGACGGCTTAGTCACTCATTCTTCCCTGATTAACAACGGGGCCAATTAGGAGGTCTTAAGTAAATGGAAAAGCAGAAGTCGATTACTTGCAGACACTGAAACAAAAGATTTGCAGTCAAATATCCATGGTGACTAAACCTCCCCCAGCTCAGCAAGCCCCTCTGGGGTGCAGAAGGGATGCTGGGGGGCCACTGGTGCCCCACCAGTCACCACACTCAGCCCTGGGGAAGTGAGAGGAGGCAGGAAAGGACCCACAGGGGTTCAGGAGGAGGTGACCAGCAGTGTGGCAAAGAGGTGACACAGGGTGACACCGGATTCGGCAAGACCTGGACTGCTAGTGCTGGTACAGCCGGGCTTTGCTTGAGAGCAGAGGGTGGGAAGCCCAAATTGATGATGCCAGTGGGTGACCTGACCACTCCACGCCCGTAGCACCCTCCGTGGGGCTCGTGTCCCACATGGGAACCAGCTAAGCCATCCACTGGCTCCTTCCCCAGGCCAAACAAAACCTCCCGGCAGCACTGGGGGCTACAGAGAGCATCCCCCCACCCCAGCGGCACAACCGAGGCCACACGTGAGCAGCCGTCCCTCTACCAGCAGCTTTGACTGGAGGGGTCCGGGGACAGGTGGCAGTCCAGGGATCTGTGTCCCCTGTCTCCTCCCGGTCCCCCGCCTGATGTCCGTCCCCCCCCAGCCATGGCAGGGTGAGGGAGCGGTGGGGCTCGGCTGGCTCCCACCCCGCCACCACGGGCACAGACGCTCACAGCAAAGTGCTCCGGGAAGCAGGTGCACACACAGGGACTACGCCAGGGGGTGCTGGGTGTCCCCAGCCACCTGCAGACGGTGCTTTCCCAAGCCTGGTGTTTGCTTTGGGACCGCTGAGCTCCCAGCACTGACACCCACCCGCTGCTCCGGGCGCCACCATCACAGTCCCCGTCACGCCGAGCCCTGCACACTGCAAACAGCACCGTGCAGAGGCACCAGTCCCCAGGCAGCCAGGGTTACTGGGCTGGCACAGGCTCTGGCATGGCCCTCCCACTTCTAGCAAGGGCAGAGGGAAGCCACCAGCTTTGTGGTCGCAGAGGGGTGCTCTTGGCACCAATGCCTGGCTCAGCAGGAGCCCCAGCACCTCTGATCACAGACCTCATCTGTTCCTCAGCCTCCGGGTTCCCCTCCTTCCCTCCCCAGCCGTCCCCATGACTAAGCCGCACGTGGTGGCTGCAGGAGGAGATAAAGGGGCTCTGCAGCAGCTAGCTTTGCACGGGGAGGATGGACAAAGGGCTCTGGGCACCCCAGCCGATGGGTAAACCCACAAGGCCAGGCTGGGCATGGGGCTGGGCAGGATGAGTGAGAAGCGGGGTCCAGCTATGCCACATCAGCTCCACACCCACAGCCACACTCCAGCCCTCCCTGCCCAGTCTCCAAGGACCCTCCCCATCACCCCCCCCCAGCCAGCTCACAGCAGGGCGAGCAGCTCCCGCAAGGACACCCTGTCAGGGGGACGGAACAGGCAGCACAGGTTTGCCCTTGTCCCAGATGACGCCTGAGGATCGCAGAGCCTGAGGCTCGTCTGGGCGAAACCAGCTGGGAGAGGCAGCTCCTGCTCCTGCTCCTGCCTACCCCCCTGACCGGTCGTGCCACTGCAGCCAGCACCGAGCCCGAAGCAGTGCCACCACAACAGCACGGGCTGGCCAGGAAGGCAACAGCCCTGGAGCAGCCGGTGCCGCCGGCAATGTGGGTTGCACCCCAAAAGGCATGTGCAGCCCTTCCTTATTGAGAGGTCATGGCCCGGCCAGAGCAGCTCTGGTCCAGTTTGACTCCCTTTGAACCAGGGCAGGAGGTGGATCTCACCCCCAGGACTCCAGAAACCACGGCAAGCCACCTGAGCTGGTCCAGCAGCCTGGACCGGCTGTGTCCTGCCCCCGGAAGCATCTTCAGCACCAGCCCCAGCCCCACACATGCACAGATCAAGGCAGAAGCCAGCTCTTATCCTGACCTCCCATATGACAAGGACCAGCCCTAGCTCCAGCACCTCTTAGAGCAAAACCAAGGGCAAGAAACAAGCCACGAGCTCCAGGCCTAGCCTAGATCCCTTATCACCCAGAGAACAGCATGGGCAGCTTGTCTGTATCCTTCCCTCCAGCTGCCTCTATTTGGTGCCTCCAGTTCGTTTCACTGTGGTGGGGAGACCGGGGCTTCAGAAACACCATCCTGGCAGCCCCTGGTTTGCAGAGAGTTTGGTCAGAGCTCGTTTTGCTCATTACCCTCAAAATCATGTGAAAATGAGAATGATGCTTTAAATAGCCCAGGCCGTGGCCAGCAGAGTCAGCAGATCTGGCAGTGGGGAGGTCAGATCCTGCACAGGTTTTGCTGCACAGTTTGCTTGGCCCCCACCCAACAGCAGTGCCCTTGTGGAGAGGGTACGTCCATGACCTGTGGAGGTATCTGCAGGATCAGGGCTGCTGCAGCATCACAGCACATCGCAGGCGGGACAGAGCCCAGCAGGGACAGGGAGGTGGCTCAGCCCAGGCGGCTCCCCAGGGCTGGGGACCCGCTCAGCCTCCCCCAGTGCTGGGACGAGCTGCACGGCACCGGGCAGACTCTGCCGGGGATGCTCGGCAAAACTGCTCTTCGCATGAGCATCGCCCCATGCCCCTTCAAAGACACTGGATAAGCTGAGGTTGGAGATGTCCTTTCCCCGTTCCTGATGTAGCTGGATCTTGGGTGGGCAGCAAAGGGTTAAAGCTTGAGTGGGAAAGGTAGGTGAGGGTGCCCTGCTCCTCTGCACCCAAAGCAGCCTTCACCCCTCTGCACCCCAGCAGTAGCCAGGCCAAGGTCCTGGCAGCCATGCCTTCGGGGACGCAGAGCCGCCTCCTGCTCCCCAGCTCCCCCACCCCGGGCTGGCCTGGCTGGGGCCACCGCGCTCATGGCTCCGCTGAAGGACAGGGAGCGGGTCCCCAGGTGCTGAGCTGTAAGCATGCACGGCCAGGGGGGACACCCCAGTTGCACCTGGGGGATGGGACTCTCCCAAAACACCCCACGAGGTGACAGCGGGCGCCGGGTGCTCTGCGGCTGAGCTGCTCCTGCCTGAAGAAGCAGAGGTATCCACACACTCCTATGCACAAGCATGCACACATATGCACAAACATGCACAAATATGCATGCACACTCATGCACAAACAGCCACACACACACATGCACACCCATGTACACCCACGCACAC